TCCATGCTGTTAATTTCAAACGTGTTATATTTGCAGCACACTTGCTGTCAAAGTGATGAAGCTGTTTTCATCCTTCATCTGTTAGTCGTGTCTTTATTCTGTTTCACTGTGTTGAGAGTGAGAGTACTTTTATAATTATAGATCAAGTCAGGTTAAGAATTAGCACTGAAGGCACTCGTGCTGAGGTTTAAAGGAACGAGACGCAGTTCTTGCACATTCAGCCTCTGACCAACATCAGTGAGTATCTGATGTAGAAATGATCTCAGAAACCAGCTCTGCTATCGTTGTTGTTGTTGTTGTTGTTGTTGTTGTTGTTTGAGAGCACATGGTGAGAACTGGACAGTTTAACCTTCTAGGACATGGGTGTCAAACTCTGGCCCGCAGCCTAGTTACATTTAGCCCGCGAAGCCAATACCAAATTATTATCAGAGCTGGCCTACTGGTATTATACAGCTGATATATATATAGTTTAGTATTAAGCTTTGCTTGTTCCATATTCAGTTTTTCAGCTTGTTTGAGTCCATAAGAAAAGATTCATTCTTAAATCTGGAGGAAGATTTTTTTTTCAGTAAATATTAACGTTAGCCCGCGACTTTGATCCAGTTTTGAATTTTGGCTCACTGTGTGTTTGAGTTTGACACCCCTGTGCTAGGAGCTGTACAGACCAATAAGTCCCAGTAAAGACAAACTTTTGCCAATGATGATGAATATTTATGGGTAAACATCCTGCTGAATGTTACAACTCGTCACAATTTCATAACTTCGTTATCATGTCACGTATGCTCTCTTCTTACCATAGCTCCCAGTCTGAGGCAGGGGTACTGGGTTCGATTCAGCCCCAGCTGTCCGAGGCTCATGGTTCCCACTGTGGTGGGCAGCTCGGGTTGAAGCTCCATGGCCCAGACGTACTGCAGACAGCACAGAGCCAGGCCGTAGAGCAGGATGAACGGAGAGCACAACGTGGCTGCATGTCGCCTGAAAACACAGACCCCGCCCCCAACGCCATCAGACTATTACAATACTGGGAAACTATTTTAAATGCACAATGGTTAAAGAACACTGCAATTGATAATTGTTGTTGTGTGATGTATTTTTTCCCTACAATATCTGTAATCTTCTTAATTATCGGTTATTATTAGCAAAATCTACAATCAAGGATTTTTTAATATATAAAAGAGGAGTTGCTGAGGCTGTTTGGGATAAATTTATATAACAAATTTTTTTTTTCTGTTTTTTTTCAAATTTTTTTCAAATTTTTTTCAAATTTTTTTCAATTTTTAAAAAAAAATGTTTTCCAATTTTTAAAAAAAAAAATTTTTCAAATTTTTTTCCATTTTTTTCCCCATTTTTTTTTCCAAAATTTTTTTTCATTTTTTTTTCAAATTTTTTTCCAAAATTTTTTTTCAATTTTTTTTTTTTATAGATCAAGGTCTGAGTAACCCAACCTTAAGTGTTTATTAAGCTGTTTGTCACATTGATATAAAACAAGCTCAGAGATTAAGCGGGTGTTATAGACAGCGTGATTAGTTTATGTAAAAATGTAGTTTGTTGTTGTTCTGTTTACGTGCTGAAAATGGTTTTTATTTGTGTATGTTCATGTGTTGCACATAGTTAACCATATATGATCAAATAATGTTGAATCCTGGATATGGATTTGTAAGCAATGAAATTTGAAATAAGGGGGTAGGAACAAGAAAAGTGTAAACTTCATCCTACTCCTTTTCGAGCACACGCATTCTGTAGACAAAGATATGTACATGAAAACTTGATTTTTAAGTTTTGTTTTTTTTCTGTTGTTATTTCAATTATATTTGCATGTTCGAAATAAAATTATATCTATCTATCTATTCTTGGAAGCAAGCAACCAGACCTGATGAAGACCAATCCAAGTCTTCATCAGGGTCTGATAGATACAGTCAGGATTAAGTAAGTATTGAGTTCTTTAACCTCTAGAAGCTGTTAAATTATTAGAATTCTGTCGTTCTGTTACTAAACTAATTAAAAAATCTAAAGTAATTTGAAGTAATTAGAGGAATAATTAATAAATATTTAAGAATATCAATGAACATTTTTACACACAATAACCAGGAAGCCGACTCTTGACTTGTTCTGTCACAAATGTGTAACAAACGTGTGGTAACAGTACCTCGCACGCAGGATCCAAATGAGACACGCCCACAGCAGCAGCACAAAGGTTAACCAGCTGTGGTATGTGATGCTCCAAACCTGGACACAAAGTGACTGAGTGTGAAAGTCTGTGACGCAGCTGCAGCTGCTGAAATGAGTCTGAACACAACGTCATGGTTACCATCATTGCTATGAGCGCACAGACGTAACTCTGCTGCATCACCACTCTTCCCAGCAGGAAGAACGGGCTTTCACTCTGTTTGCCACTGCAGCCCACATTCGCCTCTGCACCTAAAGAAAAGAATCATTTTCACAATGTTGCGTCAGACCTCCAACAACCATTTGTTGAGGTAAGAAAAAAACAGCTGTGACAGCTCAGTCACATTAAATACAATATTACAGATCTAGAGGCAGCTGTGGCTCAGGAGGAGGACAGGAGGAGGAGGAGGAGGTGGAGGAGGTGGACAGGTTGTCTACCAATTAGAAGTTCAGAGACTTAAAAGCTCCTGAAATCTGGGTGTCAAAGTATCACTGAAACCTGAGTTCGCCAGTGCATCAGTGTGAGGCCTGCGACAGCCTCAACTGGTGGAGGTGCTAACCACGATGGTGGTGGAGCTCACAGTGATCCACTGGAGCAGGCAGCAGCCGCTCAAAAACACCTGGAGAGAAACAGGCTGTAATCCTGGTAAAGGATCGCCTGAAAGCACCAGGGTCCCTGCGAGAGCCCAAGCAGCCAGCAGGGAAGAGCCAGCCAGTCCCATTTCCCAGTAGGTCCTGGTGGCTACGGATGCTGCATCCCGTTCACCGGGAGCCGCACAAGTGCCAGGGCAGGAACGTTAGAAATGTGGGTAACTGGGGCACCTTCGTCTGGACTGCCGGATGATGGATGCGGGCCCCTGAACCGCTCAGGCACTGCTCTTGTTTCTATGACATGGATTAAACCAATGGCAAGTAGCAGAAGCTCGATGGCTCCCCTGCTTAAGTCGGGGGACGTGGGGATGTGGCGGGATGTGGTCTATGGATCAGCTGCAGAGGAGGGGTGGGTTCGGGGGCAGTGCCAGTGGAGGCTGGTCAGCACACCTTTGACAGTAGTTGTGTGATTTTGCCTCCTCTGTTTCAGAGACACGTAGAGGTGAAGCCGTGCTGAAGAGTCAGACGCTGTTTGGCTGCACGGAGCAGTAAATGTAAATGTAAAGCTGCCATCATGGCAGCTTTCTGGCTGAGTCTGGGGTCCTTCCTGTTAGACTGAGTTATGCTAGAGCTGCAGGAAGCAAGTATCTCAGTCACATGACTTATGGTCATAAGGGGGGTGATATTCACTGAGACCCCTGATCCCAGATAATTGTTGGGTGATTTGTTTTTCATCTATTAAAACTCATTTTTGGTTTGAGCATACTCGACCTGTGCGCCCTCAGAGACAATTAAATGTTGTTTTTCAATTAAGCTGAAAAAGTCAGTGATGTCACCAGAATATTGTTCACTGGTTTTTCACATTTTTGTGCGCTACATCATAAACGATTCACTTCAGGCTGTCAGATTGATGTCCTCCAGTCAGTCCTATAACAGCTGTCCACTGTTCATACTGGGTGAGTTATACTGGTTAG